CATTTCTTTGGGACAGGAAGTAGTGTTTCTCCCTTAGTCAATTCCCTCATTTGTCCTCAGGCTCACCCTCTCTCTTAATGTTGCTCTTTCTTGAAAGTGGAGATATTTAACTTATTTTGGTCCCACTCTAGGCCTGTTCCACAGCTTCCCGGACACCTGAGTTTTGTCCATGAGTGAAGGTTTGTGTGTGGTAGGGGGAGACAACTTGCCTACTGAACTCTTGTGTGGTCCTCAGAGAGGGTGTTTCTCACATGCCGTATACCTCCTGTCTACCTCATACCTATCAAACCCTGTTGCATGTAGGCTGGGACATTCCTGGTCTCTGCAAAGGGATCACTGCAAAGGAATGGGGGTGAGGTGAAGGAGAGGACTTGGTACCAGTTGCAGAGGGGGAAGAAATGGTTATTTGGAAGCATAACGTTCTGTAAATAGCATGGAACATTTCATGAACTTCCCTCACCTCAACCCATTAGTTTAAAAAAAAAGGGAAGTACAGCAAAGCACTGTTTTTACCATTTGATAAAGGGCCTTCTCTCCCTGCCCTGCCCCCTTCCCACCAGCAGCATCTGATGGGAATACTTTGGCCAGACTCCCAGACAACTTTTAGTGATTACACCACCCACCTGGCGCACTCTGCCTATGTAGTGTGGAGAGAGACAATTCCAGTATGTGGGAATAAGACTGTCCAGATACAAATGTGTCTAGGGAAAGACTGTATGCTCCTGATATAGCCACCTGACCCTCACCATCACTGCTGGGGACTTGCCCCAGGTGTGCCAAGACAGAACTGCTACTAGCTATGAGCCAAGTTATTTCCCCTCTCTAGGCCTCAGTTTCCAGTTTTGTCAACTATGAAGAGACTTAGGTGAGTTGTCAGTTAGGAAGCATTTATTAAGCACCCGCTATGCACCAGGCACTATGCTAAACGCTTAAGATAGAAAGGCAAAAGACAGTCCCCATCCTCAAAGAGCCGACTGTCTAATGATGGGAGACAACAAGCAAACACATAAATAGGAAATAATAAACAGAGGGAAGAGCTACGAGGCCTAGGAAACACTTTCTGAATGACCTCTAAGGTTACTTAGCTCTTGCTGTGTTCTAATGCTCCACGTTCTGTGGTCCCTTCCAAGTTTGACATCCTATGATTCTGAAAAGATACTTCTAGGCAGTGGCTAAGAACATTAGATTTTAAGGTAGGAGACCTGGGTTTAAATTTCATCTCTTCTGTCTGATACCCGTGTAATTTTAGGTAACTAACTCCACTCTGTTGGCCTCACTTTCCTCATCGATAAAGCACAGGGGTAGGATTATGAGCTCTCTGGCACCTTACTTCATCTCTAAGTTATCTGATCCTGTGATCTTAGAACCAATTTGCACGTCAAGTATTTATGGTGAATCATTAAGCTACCAATTGTTCCCTGAGGACTCCATGGTACATTATGGGGTATTTCAGGGACGTGTTGGATATGTCCCACAAAGGAAGGCAAAGAATTGGTAAGAAATTTACCCTGTAGTTACAAAAGTGTTTTCTAATTAAAAAAAAAAAGATGTAACACAATTGAAAATGAAGGGTAAAAACAATGAACAGGAAACAGATTCTAGGCACATCCCCATGGCTGTGGGAAGTAGATGAGATGGTCAGGGTACCATATCCTGTGAAAGTTTCACAAAGAAAACAAAAATAGAGACTCATCATGGACCTTCTAAAGAGAACTTTCTCATGTATTGGTCACGAAAAGCCAAAGGGTTGGTTGGTTGTGATTTGGACACAATTCAACAACTAATTGTCTTCTGAGTTCACCATATTATATGGCATTATTGTTGGTATTCAGTCGTTTCAGTTGTGTCTGACTCTTTGTGACTGCATTTGGGGTTTTCTTGGCAAAGATGCTAGAGTGGTTTGCCATTTCATTCTCCAGCTCATTTGACGGGTGGGGAAACTGAGGCAAACAAGGTTAAGTGACTTGCCCAGGGTCACACAGCTAGGAAGTGTCGGAGGCTTCTTGGAAGATGAGTCTTCTTGACTCCAGACCTGGCACGCTATCCATTCTGTAGATATAAAGTTTAGACAAGACCTCATGGAATATCCTCATGGAATGTATAGTCTGAGAGGGGAAAAGACGCATCCATAGGTAACTAGAAGAGAAAATAATATATGATAATTATATTGGAGCAGTGCAAAACAATGTGCTATATATGTATGGTGGGAGGGTGATAGTTTTCAGGAAAGGCTTCTTGAAGGTCATCTCATCCAACCCCTTCATTTTATAGATGGGGAAGCCAAGGCATATGGAGGTTAACTGCCTCACCCAAGATCACATAGGTGGTAAGCTTGAGAGGCAAGATTTGAACTCATGTCCTCTTACTCCAGAACCAGATTTCTTTGAATTCTGAAGAGTGAGTAGGAATTCAAAAGGTGGGAGGATAGGAGTTGTGAGATTATATCATATACAGGGAACAGAATGGGCAAAAGCACAGAGGCCAGAAATTACAAGGGATAGAGTGGTCCAGTCTGGCTAGACTGGAGTATACCCAGGAGAGTATAGGTAGGATAATGAGCTCTGTTAGGGATGCTGTGTTAAGTATCACTTTTAGAGCCTAGAGACCTAGTTTGAGTCCTGACTCTGCTCTTTACTATGTGACCAGGGACAAGTCATCTTAATTCTCTGATCTAGTTATCTCATCTGTCAAGTAAACCTGAACCAATTGTGTCCTGGACTTGTTGTGAGGAAGGCATTTTATAAACTGTTAAATGCTTTATACAAGCCTCCCATGCCACCTCTCCCCTCCCTTAGGATCACAGGACCAAGATTTAGGACTGGATGGGATCTTGAAGCCATCTAGTCTGCCTCCTTATTTAAAAATGAAGAAACTAGGGCCCAGAGGTTAAAGGCCCAAGGTCACTTAACCTGGTAAGTGATAGAGCTAGGATTTGAATCCACAACTTTTTAGCATACTTAAGTGAGAAAATGAAGGATTGTATTAAATGAGAGAAAATGAAATGAGCAGAACCAGGAGAACAATTTTCATGACAGCCACAATCATGGAAATGACACTAACACTGAAAAACTTCTGAACTCTAATCAAGGTAGTGACCAAAGCAGTCATGACATCAGAGTACTGATGATGGTGACTATAGGTGCAGAATGAGACATATGTTTTCAGACATGATCAATCTGTTGATTAATTTTACTTAACTGTACTTATTTATAAATGTATCAATTTAATATAATTTAATATAAACACATTTATATAGATCAATAAGTATACATATGAGTAACTATTATTATTACATATAATAATAATAATGATATTCTATTAGGGTGGGTGTCATTAGGAAGTGACACTGTGGTTAAAAAAAGAGCATCAATAAAACTTAAAAAAAAAAAAAGGAAACAGAGGCCATCCATCACAAGCTCCCTGTTCTCCCTTTTTCTATGTCTCAAAATCCCTTGACATTGTCCTTCATTCTCTCTTCTGTTATTGTAGTCTCTGATGAAGAAGTGACTCTTCTTACCAAGGCCAGTATCTCTGTGGCTACCTTTGTTCCCCTGCCATTCCCTCCTTTAGCCTGTCCCCATAATTACCTTCATTTCTTTACCTCTCACTTGCTTCTCAATCTCCTGTGGTCTTCCAAACCCATAACTATACTGAAACTGCTCTCTCCAAAGTTACCAATGAGCTCTTAATTACCAGATTTCTTAGTCCTCATCCTTCTTGACCTCTCTGCAAAATTTGATGTTGTTGATGATCATTCCTTTCTCCTGGATACTCTCTCCTGTCTGGGTTTTCATGATATACTTTCTTGGTTCTGCTCCTGCCATTGTCTCTTTTGCTGGCTCATCATTTGTGTTCTGCCCTCCCCAGCCATGGGTCTCCCCCAAGGTTCTCTCCTGTGCCTTCTTCTCCTCTCTTTACAACCTCTGTCTCAGCGACCTCATTAATTCTCATGTAATCAACTGTCATCTCTATGCAGATGAATCCTAGATCTATATATCCAGTTCCACTCTCTGTCCTGAGCTACAGTTCTGTATCACCAACTACCTTTTGGATATTTCTAACTCTGTAGTCCCATACACATCTCAAACTCAACATGGCCAAAACAGAACTCGTCATCTGTCCTCCCAGAACTATCCTAATTTACCTATTTTCTGTTAAGGGTATTACCATCATAACCTTAGCAATAATGTTGAACTTTGCATTTTCCCTAAACTCTCGTATCCAATAACTTGCTAAACCTTGTCATTTCTACCTCCACAACATCTCCTCCGTTTGTCATCTCTTCTCTATTCATACAGTCACCAACTTTGTTCAGTCTATTATCATCTCTCACCCAGATTCTCTTTTTAACATAGTTCCAAATTCCAGAATGGTTAGATCAATTAAAAATCCATCAACAGTGTACTGGTGTGCTTGTCTTCCCTCGGCCCCTCCAGTATTGACTATTTTCATCTTTTATTATCTTTGCCAATTTACTGCTTATAAGTTGAAACCTCAGAGTTGTTTGGAGTTGCATTTCTTTTATTGTCAATGATTTTATTCATATGGTTGTTAATAGTTTTCAATTCTTATTTTGAGAACTATGTTCACATTCTTTAACCACTTATCTTTTGTGGAATCTCAGACATATAGAAATAGATATATGGACACACATATATTTGCATAAATCTTGGATATCATACACTTTTCAGATATTTGATGGATCAATACTTTCACAATCAATAGTTTCTTTTTTCTCTGCTTACACTGATTTTGTTCATACAAAAGCATTTCAATTACCTTCAGTCCTAACTGACAGTTATTAGTTGTATGACCTTAGACACATAATTTAATTCCTCTGAACTTAATATTCTTCTGTAAAATGAAACTAACATTTACACTGACTACCTCATAGGGTTACAATAAAGGAAAATTCTTATAAGCTTTAAAATGCTATAGAAATATAGGTCATTATTAAATACTCTTTAAAAAAATATTTCTCTACCCTCCATTTTTCCCAGGAAGAGAAGATGATGAGAATCCTAGTACAACACCAGGTCCGGAGTGGAGTAAGTGGCAATGTGGGGATGGAAGTGGATGGTCTGCCTTTCCATGGCATTCATGCTGAAATGATCCAACAGTTGATTGATGTTACTACCATGTAATACATATACACACACACTTTATATAATCTCCATCACCCTTTCTAGTTCTCCATTTCCCCCGCCCCCCACCTCATATATACATATCCCACCCTAAAGTGGCTGGGCTGTATTCTTGTGCCAAGTCAGGGGAATTGGGAGATTGTAAGAGATCATGGGTAGGAATCCAACATGTGGAGACAAATGCAATTTCAAAGCTAACTGGAAAGGATTGGGAGGGAGGCATTCTTTTCATCACCTTCTACTTACCCAAGAGGTCATAACAATGGAAATATAGAAGAATTCCCTTCTATACTAGCTTTGAAAATTCACTAATGGTCCAAAAAAAAAAATAAGGCACAAAAACATGCACGATAGTGCCTTGTGGCTTAGCATGGTGAAAGTGGAAAGAGCCTTCGAACTTGACCTAAAAAACCAGAGTTGAATCTGTCTGTGTCAGTGAGCGCGTCACAGCCTCTCTGGTCCTCTTTTCGCTCACCAATAAAATGAGGAGGTTAGGCTGGATAACCTCTACAAACTCTTCCAATCTAAATCTGTGATCTTTTGTGGGTGGACTTGAAGGGGAGACCAAGTAAAACATTTCCAGGGAATCAATCATTTTTTGTATTGATTTCTTTAAACTTAAATACTCAAACTTAAATATACAATGAGAAAAGAAGAAACATATTATAAACTTAAATACAAAAGAAAAAAAGGAAAAAAAGCATTGCCATATGCACAGCAGAACATGAGAGGATTCAAAATATATAGCAATAATTTCCATTTCAAGAAAGCCTACATAATAAATACTACACGTTGTGTTCTGAGCTGTCCATCTTTTCTTTGCTTCCTTGTTAGTTTTCTTTTGTTCTCTGCTGTGTACTTTTTACTTTGTTCTTTTTTCCCCCTTTGCTCCCCTGCCTCACCAAGAAGGCTACAGTTAAGTGGAGGATATATTTTTGGGGATGTGCATACATATGCACATATATACATATATATATACACAAACATATCCATACATATACACATACATACATATACTTACATGCAATACATATACTTAAATATCTATAATCATACTCATATAAACATATACATTCATATGCATCTGTATAAGACCATACTGTACTTGTTTGTCCTCTGTCCTCTGTTTCTCTAAAGGTGGATAGTGTCTTCCTTCATAGGTCCAAATCTTTCCATATTTTTCTAAGTCCACCAACTCATGGTTTCCTATACTACAGTAATATTCAAACCTTATATTGTCTAGTTATTTTAAATAGTCTAAAATAATATTGATTAACATAACTGGCATATAGTGTGATTTCCCTATTTTTCTCTATTGATTAAATTTATTTTAGCTTTAACTTTGTCTAAGATCATGATTACTACTCCTTTTTTCTCTAATAAATTCTATTCCTGATCTTTATGTTTGTATATATCTCCTATTTTCTATCCCTCCTGACTCCTCTACTTTACTTCCACCTGCTACCTTCTCCTCCTATTACAACCACCAAAGATTCCCTCCCTTATCCTTTCCCCCTACTCTGAAATCCCTTTCTTATTTTCTCCCCACTCCCATCCCCTTACCCTTTTATTTCTTTCTGAATTTAGAAGACTTCTATGCCCTTCTAGATATGTATGTATTTTTCCCTCTCTAACCCATTCCCAATGAGAGCAGGGTTCCAGAACTTCCAGCTGTGCTCCCCCATCTGATTCCTCTGTGTCAGTTCTTCCTCTTGTATCTCTTTGTATAAAATTATTACTCTTTTTACCTTTTCTTAGACGGTTTACTTTTTAGTATTGCATCATACTCAGCTGTACACCAATCTTTTTTTTTCTGAACTACTCAATTACTAATAATACTCTTAGACATAGGATTTACATTTCCTTGTATAAAAAGTAAACACTCTGTCTTTACTGAGTCCCTTGTAATTAGTCTTTATTGCTCTTGGATCCTGTATGTCAAATTTTCTATTGATTTCAGGTATTTTTACAACAAAATCCTGAGAGTCTGGCAATTCATTGAAGGTTCATTTTTTTCCATTCAGGGTTAAGGTTAACTTTGCTGGGCGTAATATTTTCAGCCAGTTCTTTTGCTATTTGATATATAGTGTTCCTGTAGTCTTTTAAAGTAGCTGCTGCTAAGTCTTGTGTGATTCGAATTGTGGCTGTCCCATATTTGAATTGTTCTTTTCTTGTTGCTCGTAATATTTTCTCCATGAGCTTGGAGTTTCAGAATCTAACTATGACGTTCCTGTAGGTTTTCCTCCTAGGAGCTCTTTCAGGTGGTGATCGATGGATTTTTTCTATTTCTACTTTCCTCTCTTATAACAGTTCAGGACAATTTTCTTTAATTATTTCTTGTATTATTGTATCAAGATTCTTTTTTTGATCAAAATTTTCAGGTAGTGTGATTATTCCTATGTTTTCTCTTCTTGATCTGTTCTCCAGATCAGCTTTTTTTCTTATGAGACGTTTCCCTTTCTCTTCTATTTTTTTCATTCTTTATATTTTGCTTTGTTATTTCTTGGTCTCTTATAACTTCACTGGCTTCCCCTTGCCCAATTCTAATTTTCAAGGAATCGTTTTCTTCCTTAAGATTCTGGATCTCCTTTTCCAGTTGGTTAACTTTCTTTTCATAATCTTCTTGGTTTTTTCTTGGATTGTTCTTTTTTTTTTAAAATTTTCCTCAATCTCTCTCATTTGGTTTTTGAAATCTTTTTTAAGTTCTTCTATAAATTCTTTTTGGGCAGGTGATTATTTGATGTTATTCTTTGGGGTAGGAGAGGGTTTTTTTTTACTTCAGTATCTTGCTCTTAGGATGAACCCTAGACTTTTCTATTCCTACAGTAACTTTCTGTGGTTGGGTTCTTTCTTCTTTGCTTGCTAATTTTTTTTAATAGCAACTTGTTGAAATCATCTCTAGTCCTGGGGTATGGGGGATGGTGCCTCTGGCCTCGTCCTCCTTCAGTTCTCCCCTGTGGCCTGGAACTGAAACCAGTAACTCTGCCTTCCTGTAAGAGTCTACAGGCAGTAAGGTTGCCACCCCACTGCTTCTACACTAGCTCCTTCTCACTCAGGGCCACATCTCAATAGCACAGCTGAGGCTAGAGTCCCCATATTAGCAGAGGTTCCCTCAATCCTCCACTGCTCAGACACTCGACTGCAGGCACTGTCCTGGAGGTGAAAATTCCTGTGGCTGGGCTAAGGTTGCATCCCAACTCAGCTAGCCCCAGGGCCTGCCACTTGCTGTTTCGGGGGAACTAGCCTAGAGGTGTTTACGCTTCACAGGAATCAAACCTCAGGTCTTCTCAGGTTGTCCCAGGAGGACCACTGTTCTGCCCCAACTCTTGTTTATTTTTACTGCTCTACATTCACCCTGAGGCACTATTTTGTCATTCGTGCAAGAAATCTGGAGAGCTTGAAATTTTCTGACCTACTCCATCTTCTCAGAATCCTCTCAACTTTCCATGGATTTTTATGGATATATTGAACTTCTACTTTTGTCCTCATTTTAAAAAATCTGTTCTTTAATAGATAAGAGAATTTCTTTTAAAAGATTTTCATTAAAAAATGGTACCTAATTTAGTTACTCTCAACCAACACACATTTATAAAGTACTTACCGTATGCCAGGTACTATGCTATGTATTGGGCATACAAAGACAAAAATGGCACAGTCCTTGTTTTCAAGAAGCTTACATTCAGTTGAGGAAGACAGCACTGCAGTCCTAAGAATATGCAAAAGTTTATACCGTGTAATGGGATGGAGGGAGGAAAAGCACCAGCATCCAGGAGCAGCAAGCACAGGCTCACGTGGGAGGCAGCGTCTGAGCTAAGCTTTGAAGGAAATCTGGTTTCTAAGAGGTAGAGTTGAGAGGGAAATGCAGTGGCCTGCAGTATCTATGCTTTGGCTATTGTATGCTTCATGACAATTATGATCATGGCTTTCCTGATGACATCAATGAAATGGTTCATAGAATTGGCCTAATACTTTTAGAATTATTTTTAGAAGCGAAAAGTTCATTTTAAGAACACAAGTGGTAGTATAATACACAAGGTCACCCAAATTCATTTCATATGTGGTAATAAGGTAATAGGTGGTCCTGAAAAGGTGAAATTATATGGGCCCACTGTCCAGCCAAACAAGACATCTCCTTAAACTGGTAGAAATATTGATAGGACTTTGGCATGCAGGAAAAATCAAATTGATTTCTAAAGACATTGTAGCCATTCGATTCAGCCTGAGTCTCCATCCCAGCATTCTGGGACTCTCCATGCTAATGAGTCAACAATCAGCACTTCCTCCTGGAGGTACTCATGAACAATGAACACACTGATCTGAGCAGCCAAATAAGGAACAATGAAAACAGTTGAGGACATAGATAACCCCTTAGATGGATATTTGAGAATTAATAGTTGGTACTAGTAGTATCTTCCCCCCTTCACAAACCCTTCCAAATTTCTCTATTACTGTTGATGGTACCACCATCTTTGCAGTCCCCCAGGTTCTTAACCTACACATCATCATGGACTCCTCACTATCTGTCACTTCCCCTATTTGAATTCATTGCCAAGGCCTGGTGATTTCACCTTTGCAGCATTTCTCTAATATATCCTCTTCTCTGATACTGCCACCATTTTAATATGGGCCCTCATCTCTTCATTCCTGCCCTATTATAATATCTTGCTGGTTGGTCTGCCTGCCCCAAGTCTCTCTTCGCTTCAGTCCTCCGCACAGCTGCTAAAGTGATTTTCTTACTATACTGTGTTGACTCTATCACATTCCTCACCACCCCCCAACTCAATATCGTTCAGTGACAAGCTGTTACCTCCAAGATCAAATATGAAATCTTCCCTTTGACATTTAAATCCCTTCACAATCTGGTCCCAACCTATCTTTCCAGTTCTATTATACATTATTCACTTTCCTGTACTGTGTAGGCCATTTTGAGTAGGTCAGAGTGAGTCACCCAGAATGAGCAGGCATGGAAATCTGCCTCAAGATCTCATTACACTTTCTGTCCAAACCCTCCCTTCTTTTGTACTTCCTTATTTCTGATAAGTCACCTGAGTTTCTTCCAGTTAACTGAGTTCACAACTTTGGTTGTCATCTTGACTTCTCACTCATACTTATCCCCATATGTCTAATGACTTGCTAAATCTTGTTCTTTCTGTTTTGACAATGTCTCTGAGATCTGTCTCCTCTCCACTAACAACCTCCACCAGTAGTTAGACTTTATTGCCTAGACTATTGCAATGGACTCCTAATTAAGCCTCCCTGCCTCAAGTTTCTCCCCACTCCAATCCATCCTCTGCAGAGCTGCTAAAGTGATTTTCTTTCCATACTGTGTTGACCATGTCACATTCCTTGCCACCCCCCAACTCAATATACTTCAGTGACAACCTGTTACTTCTAAGGTCAAATATAAAATCTTCTCTTTGACATTTAAAGCTCTTCACAATCTGTTCTCGACTTAATCTTTCCAGTTTTATCATACATTATTCACCTTCCTTTACTGCATAGGACAATCAAATAGCC